CCAAGAGGCCCATGCGCAAGGAAACTTGGAGAGGGAAGAGTCCTAAAGGGGGAAGGCACCTCCGAGGTGCCTTGGGGAGGATGGACTCCTCCCCATCCTTAGCCGCACCCCTTCCTTGGAGGAGGGGGCAAGGCTGCGCCCTCCCCCTCTCCCTTGGCCCTATATATAGTGGGGAAAAGGAGGAGCAATGATACCTAAGGCCTTTGGTTGCCTCCCTCTCCCTCCCGTGACACATCTCCTCTCCCGTAGGTGCTCGGCGAAGCCCTGCTGGATTGCCACGCTCCTCCACCACCACCACGCCGTTGTGCTGCTGTTGGATGGAGTCTTCCTCAACCTCTCCCTCTCCCCTTGCTGGATCAAGGCGTGGGAGACGTCATCGGGCTGTACGTGTGTTGAACGCGGAGGTGCCGTCCGTTCGGCACTAGGATCATCGGTGATCTGAATCACGACGAGTACGACTCCATCAACCCCGTTCACTTGAACGCTTCCGCTTAGCGATCTACAAGGGTATGTAGATGCACTCCCCTTCTACTCGTTGCTGGTCTCTCCATAGATAGATCTTGGTGATTCGTAGGAAAATTTTTGAATTTCTGCTACGTTCCCCAACAAAGGAGGCAAAGGAAGCCCCAGGGCCCGAACATCCGGCCCCAAGCCCCAGACATCCGGCTCCTCCGGAACCCCTGGACATCCGGCCCCCCCAGCCCGGATATCCGGCACCAACGACAGGAGACACCCGTAGGTTGGCCTCTTCAGCCCGGACATCCGGCCCGAGCCCCGGAAATCCGGCCTCCCACCAAGCCCTGGACATCTGGGCCCCAGCCCGGAAATCCGGCCTCGTCTGTCCAGAGACCAAAGAAGCTTGCCTCGCCAGCCCGGACATCCGGCCTCACCTGAAGCCCCGGACATCCGGCCCGTCGCCCGGACATCCGGCCTCGCCTGCGTGCGAACAGTGAAGGGCCGAAGCCCATGTACTCTTTCGCCCCCGTAGACTATATATACTTCATCCCCTTCCTCTTTCTAGGGTTAGCGTTGGTTTAGCTCATATGTGAGATAGAGTTTCGCTCATCCATACCGATCTCCTCCTCGAGAGAGACTGCGGCCCCTCTTCGGAGAAGATCCTTGGATTCAACACCCCCTCTTGGGTGGCCCCATCAAGACCTCCTTCTAGGAGAAGAACCGGTTACTTTGTATCGTCCTTTGTTGACCTTGGATCATCGTGTATCTCTTTGTGTTATTGGATCTAGCGCATGTGTGATCTATTTCTTGTTGGTTGAGTGTTTCTCTCGTGTTTTCTCTCCGTTCATCCCCGTGTTCGTCGTGTTCTTCGAGGGATCTCACTCCTTTCATGAAAGATCGGCCATCTAGGGTTCCACCCCACATCAATTTGCCTCATCCATTGATTAAGCAGAAGAGAGTTGCCTAATTAATTCACGAAAAACCGGGCAAAAACCAACATAAACCGCTAAGGGACACTCACATGATACTCCACATGGGATCACTCTCTTAGGTTTATATATTAAGTGGGTTGTAATACTTACCTCTGGAAATGATGTTATCACAATGAAATTCCAAACCATTTTTTAAGAAGCCCCCACCCACCCACCAATCCACCCTTCGCTCTCACTGATAGAATCATACCTTATGAAACGTAACCACCTCACACATTAATCACCAAAATTTCTAGGACGAGAGCAGAGCAAAAGCTACAAGAGCATCTCTAGCGTGGATACGGATGCGGGAGCAAACCATCCAAATCCAGCAGCATATGTCCAGTTACATTTCAAATTAAATTCAACGAAATTGAACAAATTTGATTCAAACTCAAATAAACCAGTCTTTTTTTACATAAAACCAGATGCTTTTCATCTAAACCGGAGCAAATTCATTACATTTTCACATTTTTCAACTAGACTGGACTCTAAACTTAGTCTAAAATGACCGTCGGCACCCGTTTCTCATCTCCTTCCAGCCATGAGCCCTAGAAAGTGAAGTCGCGCCCCTCTACTTCCCCTCCACTGACATGCCTTCCCCATGTCTGGCAGCCCGATATGCTTCAGCGAGAGGAGAAGAATAGCCTCTGTTTCCCCCGTGTCTTTCCTATGCCTGGCTATGTCGCTCATCGGAGTGCCCTCCACTTCCGTGAAGAACGTACCAGGGTTGGCTTTTGGGATGGGGGACAATGGTGGCCTGTGAAGAGGGAAAGACATCGGCTGTGCACGCCAGCCCCGTGCCGGCGGTGGCCTTCATGGGACCCAAGCGGCGGCGGCCTTCCATGATTTACTTTTCCTCGTTGTCGGCGATGGACGCGGGCGTGCTAGCCGTCTCGTTGATCTCCATGACACCAACTTTTTTCTTCGTTGGCAGGGCATGATTACGCGCACATTGACAGCGGATGGCATGGGAGGAGCGGTACGGCACTGCCTCATCCACGACAGCAACTTGTCCCATGCCCACGTGCTCCTCCGCAAGCTGGCTTGGAGTGGTGACTTATTGAACCACGCACCGGCTTGGAGCGGCCAGTTGCTCCTCCGCACGCCAGCCTGCAGCCTCGCCATGGTATTGACGACCTCGAGCGACGAGGGAGATCGAGTCGCAGCGAGTTGCCTAGCTCATATCCGGTGGGCTCGGCGGGCCACCAGCGGGTTTTTATGCCGAAGAACCCCTCTTCCTGCTCGTCGGATGTCATGGAAAGTATGGAGAATATGGTGCAACGAGGAGATGGGGAGCGGATGTGTGGTGCGGTTCTTGCCCGGCGTCTGGCCTTGTTTAAATAGTCAGTGGATGCGAGGAGCCAACCGCCGTTGTGTTTAATGTTGTCCGGCTCACGAACGGGCGTGTGGATGGAGTAGGTTTCACTACTAGGAAAAGGGCTATAGATAATATGGACACTAATGGCGCACCACATACAGGTGCCATTAGTAATGTGCACCTGGTGTGTGGTGCGCCATTAGTAGTTTTGAAAAAAAAATAAAAAAAAATGTTACTAATGGCGCACCATGGGATAGTGCGCCATTACTAGTTGACATAGTAATGGCGCACCACACCCACCGTGCGCCATTAGTAGTTTTGAAAAAAAAGTAAAAGAAATTTGTTAGTAATAGCGCACTGTCCACTGGTGCGCCATTGCTAAGTTTTTTTTCAAAAAAAATTCATATATTTTTTATTTTTTTAAAACTAGTAATGACGCAACGTGGGTGTGATGCGCCATTACTAGTTTAACTAGTAATGGCGCACCACTCCCACGATGCGCCATTACTAATTTGGCCCAAAAATTCCACCGAATACACCCCCTCCCCCCGTGGACCGCCTTTTCAATTTAAAAAAATAAAAGAAAATGATGGAAATGTCAAAAAAATAAAAGAAAATAAGTTTCCCATGTGATATGTGGTCTACTTATTGGGAAAATTTACAAATATGAATTTCGACTTTATTTGCAAAATCTCTCTGGAATTTGTAAAATGGGCATAACTTTTGCATACGAATTCGGATTAAAAAGTTTTATATATGAAAAATCATCTACTCGAAAAGTTACATCCGAATTTCTTTTAAGATCTAGAGGGAAAAAAATGGGAACCTTGTTAAACATTTTCAAAATCCCCAAAAACCTAACAGAAAAAAAAGTTACGGGGCTTTTAAGATCTAGAGGGAAAAAATGGAAAAAATTTCAAACTTACTAGTGGCGCACCGTTTGCTAGGTGCGCCACTAGTAACAGAAAAAAAAATTGGTTTCGAAAAAAAATTTGATTTTTTTTTCAAAATATGATATGCAATATGACCGGGAAGTTTGAAATATTTTTTCAAAATTTCATCATACTCATTAACATGAACAAAGTCCTAGACATCAACAAAGTTTAATAGGATTGATATGATAGATATATCAACAAGTGCCTGTGAAGTGAGCTGGTGCTGGGGTTGGATAGAACTGCGAAGTTAAGCATGCTCGGGCTGGAGTAGTGTGAGGATGGGTGACCTTCTGGGAAGTTTGACCACAGAGTGCGATTTGACTTGAGATTAAGCATATTGACCTGAAATTAAGCCATATTGACCCGGGAAGTTTAATAGGATTGATACTAATGACGCACCGTGGGCTATACTAATGGCGCACCAGTGGTGCGCTACTGGTGCGCCATTAGTAAAAAATACTAATGGTGTGCTACTAGTGGCGCACCTGTAATGAGAGGTCGCATTCTTTCTGGCCGATGTCAATGCAGAGCGGCTGCTCACAGAGGCATGAATGCGGATAGCTGACGCCTGGCGGGAACGCATGCGGGCGAGGGAGAAGGGTTTTGGGTGGGCCAGAGTAGTGAGAAGCAAAGGTAGCAGCGGTTCGGATGCCCATAAAGCCTCCTAGTTTGTCTTCAGTTTACGTAAAAAAATGTGTCTGGATTGTCGAGCGGACTAATAAGTCCATGTCGAATAACAAAACATGTCTAGACCGTACAATCTAAACATATGCGAATGACTTAAGGGTCCATTGGACATGCCTTATAACCTGATCTGCGTTCTAGAAGAAGTTCACCGTGTCGGAAGGCCTTGACATTTCATTCCCCCAGTGTGCTGGATATACTAACGGACATGCGCCCATATCGCACTACTTAATTAGTGATCGTGTTATCACAATTATAGAATCGATGCGTATCTCTCCATCCTTACTTACTAGTGATCTCCATTTACACGGCATAAATTGACCCCAGAAAAAAGAGGAGATTTGCGCCAAATTTAGAGCCATGCCATTTGTTTTTTGAGAAGAATTTAGAGCCTTGCCTGCTTTTTTCTTTCTTGATGTTTCTTTGTTGTTGAGCCTTTTGTGCCTTCACAGCTGCCCCGATCGGGCCCGATCGAGCAGGCCATCTCGGCGGGCTACGCGTGTTGGGCCGAGTAGGGAAATGCAACAAGTACGAGCGGTGCGGTGGTTGGAAAGAAACGCAGCCGCATCTTCTTGTCGGGTGGCTCAGCCTCCTTGACTTCATCGGAGGGAGGGGAGATCTCACCGGAAGGAAATGGAGGAGGAGACAAATCTGGGCGGCGCCGGCGGAGTGGAGGTGAAGGAGGAGGAGGGGGTCGAGTCGTTCGAGCCGACAGAGGACGAGCTGGTGCTGCACTTCCTGCGGCCGCAGCTGCGCGGGATCGCGCCGCGCGTGGCGGGCGCGGTGGTGGAGGCGGACCCGTGCGCGGCGCCGCCGTGGGACCTTCTGGAGCGGCACGGGCTGCTGCGGCGCGGTCACGGCTACTTCTTCCATGCGCGGCGGCGCGGGAAGGGGGGCCCGGTGCAGGTGCGGCGCACCCCGTTGGGCGGCGGCGGCACGTGGATGCACAGCGGCAACAGGGAGGACCGGCGGTCCGTGACGGAGCTGGGCGTGGTGGCGCGGTGGTCCATGACGCGCTACTGCTTCTACGCCCGGGACAGTGCGCAGGGGCGGCGGAGCACCGGGTGGGTCATGTCCGAGTACGAGATCACGGACCCGCGGTGCTACCGCCGCGCCGACGACGGCGAGGAGGACCAGTACTGGGTGCTCTGCCACGTCCGCCGCAGCACCAGGAAGAACGTCAAGCCGCGCTCGCGGAGGCGGTAGGCTGCCGCGCCTCGGCTCGGTCGCCGGCAGGCGCAAGGCGGAGACCGGAGAGGATCCCCGAAGAATCTCGTTGTGCGTTTCTTGTGTTCGTCGCCCGGGCTGTGTGATCTGTCGGTCGGTCGGTCCGCGCGCGTGCGCCACGTGCAGTGTGTAGAGAAGGAAATAAAATGTGCGCGCTGTTGCGATCTTGGGCCTCTCCCTTCCCTTGGTTTCTCCTGCTCCGCGCATGTGTTGCGCTGCGCGAGCTGATGTGCGTTTGTGCCCAAGTGTTTTTGGAAATAGTTCGAAACAGACCTTGAATTTATAGACGGAAAGCTAAATCAAATCATGAACTTGTAATATCGAAAATGGCGCACCAAACTTTTTGTTCCCGGTCTATTTTGAACCTTCAGGGCGTTTAGCTGGTATTCGCTGACGTGGCAAGTCAAATACTAGGGTTATTTCTGCAAAAAAAATACTAGGATTATTGACCGGCTGCTCTGATTTTATTTTGTTTGTTTTCCTTTCCTTTTTTTTGTTTCTTTGTTTTTCATTTTCATAATGATAATAAATAGTTCAATATTTTGTAATGACTTTTTTTGAACTACCAAAGCCACTTGTCTTCTATAAAGAGCGACGAAAATTTACCGAACGACAAAAAAAATACTCTAACTAGAGTGATTTACAGGAGTCAATCTCGGATCTTGCACTGAGAGCGCCCGCAACTAGCCACTCGGCTGCTCATGGCGATAGATAGTGCGTCCTCAATAAGAATAGACAGGAGTGTCCATATATGCAAGCACTTTTTTCAAATCTAAACATTTCTTGAAAAAAGTTGTGAACAATTTTGACATGCCAATTTTTCAATAAGGGTTAATTGGTTAAATGCCACTCCAATTCTGGCGATTCCAAGAAATGCCAGTGCAATTTTCCAAACTTTGAAAAATGCAACTCTAAATTTTGCAAATTATAAAAAATGCCACTTTTCAAAAGTTTAGAAATTGAAGTCACCCTTTTTTAAACACAAATAATTTACACAATTCCACAAATATGTTTTTTGGAAAATGTGACACAATTTTTGCAAAAAATCTAAAAAAATAGAAACATTTGAAACTTTTGGAAATCTGAACATCTTGTGACAAATGTGAACAATCTTTGAAATAACGATTTTTTAAAATGTAAATAGAGCTTGAATTTAATTTCAAACACGTCTTCGAAACACGAGACAATTTTCTATTTTGGACCAAAAATAGGAAACATTAACATTTCTTGAAAATTTGTACAAACTATGAAATGCACGGACATTTTTGAAAATTCCCAAACATTTTTTTAATTTATGAAAAGACAAAAAAAGTTTGTGCAAAAAAAATTCAGGATTAAAAAGTGTCCCCCTTTTCATAAAAATGTTTATGTATCAAAAAGTGTTCGCTTTTAAAAACTGATTGTGTTTTAAAAAAATTGTCTGTTTTTCAAAAGTATTCGGAATTTCATAACATGTTCGCACTTTAGAAAATGTTTGGGGATTTCAATTTTTGTTTACATTTGTAAAGTTTGCTCTTAAAACACGTTTTCAAATCTCGACACTGCATTTTCTATAAACTACGGTCGGGCTTCTAATTATATCAGTGACAGATCATTAGCAGCTCCTAGTCGCAGTTACGATTCCCCCGGTTTGTCTCTTTTTGGGTATTTTTACGTTGCACTTTACGGAAAAGTAAAAAAAAACTTCGCTTCACGCTTGATGGGCTGGCCCAATCGCGTCCGCAGCCAACAATCCCAGGACTTGGCTCTGCCAGGTCGACAATCCCTGTTTGGGAACGCCCTCAAGGTTCAAAATAAACCAAGATCACAGAGTTCGGCGTGCTGATAAAATGCTTTTCTTTATATTAAGATTGTCAAAGAGCTTGATGTTTTCTTAAAAACCACTTTTATGGGTGAGAAACGCATCTAACATTCATTTGCCTGACATTTTGTACTTGTCATATATAATGTCCAATGTGTTTTATAGAGACACTTGCATCTTTGACTGTAGTTGGTTTCTACAGATTTTGCCCTCACTTTTCGAGCCTGCTCAGTTTTGTCCTTAGATTTGCTCCTGAGGTTGCTCGAATGCCCTTCTGTCAAGATTTCGTCCGGTCAAAGGCGTTGGACCATTACTTTGATCAAAATACCCCTTAGAAGTGGCAGAGGGGTTATGTCCCCCTTCCACATGGAAAAAAATGAAAGAAATAAACAAATCATCCCTCTCACTCTTTTATAGAAGGAATCACAAATTGGTATGCTCCAGACTTCACAGAGTGGAACCCCAGAGGTATTGTAGCATGCCGCAAAACTGAAATCAATATTTGTAAGTGAGGACTCCAGTGTGTTTGATTCCAGTGGGAGCTCAATACTTTAGCAAGTTTTTTTAGGCAATGGGTGGCGCTTCATTGATTAAATGACAATAAGTTCATTACAAAGTACGGGTCCGATGAAATCCGGAGCTTCGACATACCAAGCACCTACGACAACATGCTCCGCAGATCGCGTGATAGCATGAGCCGCCCTATTACATGCTCAACTAACATGAATAAAGGAAACTGAAACAAACTTCAACAACGGTAATAACTTGATGTCATGGGCGACAGCACCAGTAGCCAATCGTTCAGCTTCAGAGGCATTCAGCTTGGACACTAGAGATGAACAATCACAAGCTAAGATATTCCTCTGAATACCATCAACAAGAGAACATGATAAAAGAACATCGAGTGGCCATTACTTCAGCGGGTTCAGGATCGCAAACCTTCTCATAGAAGTGATCACACATTCTCATAGAAGTGATCACTGGACACAAAAGTACAACACCAGCACCAATATATTCAGATTGTAAGAAGATGGCAGTATCAAGGTTGACCATAACCTTGTCCTCCCACGGTAGATTCCATCTTTGAACTGAGGGGGTGAAATCACACCTTTTGGAAGCTTTGGCTTTGAAAGAGTGCTGCAAAATCATCTCAATGCAAGCGTGGGAGAACAGGAAACAGTGCACGGGTGGAACTTGAAAACTTCGAGACCCTATCGCCCCTCCAGTACTGTAAGGGCTTCCATATCCACAGAGTCCTGACCGTAGTCTGCTCTCTTTGCTACCTTATTCCTCCGAGAAAAATACAGTGGCTTATCAGGCGTTGCAACTGGTGTGCTTCTACTCTCCAACGTTGATACAACAGTTGACTTGAGTGGTCTGACATCCGGATCATCCTGAACACACAAGAGCCCAACATGAATGCAACATAAAGCCTCTTCATTCGAGCAACTCTCTGAAACTGATGGATCCACCAAATCCATTGCTAGCCCTTCCCTCCATGCCTGAATAAATCAAATGAAAAAAAATAAGTCATGTGGTCAAAGGAATTCCAGACATCGATAACGATAAATCATAATCTTACATATATTATAAGGTTGGGGAACTCATTGATGTTCTGGGTTGAGCTAATCCTTAGACCACTTACAGTTTCCAAGAGCAACACTCCAAAGCTATAAACATCAGACTTAACAGAAAAGAGGCCTTCCATTGCATATTCCGGAGACATATAACCGATGGATAAATCACATCATCAGCACGACTTGTACGTTTCGAGTTGAGTTTAACTATGTATGACTTTAATGAACAACTACACACAAGATAGTACTTACTATGTTCCGACAACTCGGTTAGTGTTTGCTTGTTGCTCATCTCCACCAAAGATTCTTGCCATGCCAAAATCAGATATCTAGGGATTCATATTCCCATCTAGCAAAATGTTGCTTGTTTTCAGATCCCTATGAATTATCATCAGTCTTGAGTCTTGATGTAGATAGAGTAGTCCTCTAGCTACTCCTTTGATTATATTGAATCATGTTGGCCAGTGAAGCATTGGCTTCTTTTCAGAATCTGCAAGAGTAGTATCGGATTATGATTTAAGATGTGGTGTCAAATGATTGTTGGCTGATTAATTTGTGATCAGAACATACTGAAAAGGAAGAGTGGTATCCAGGCTTCTGTTTGGCAGATACTCATAAATAAGTAGCTTTTCATCGCCCTGCACACAATAACAGACAAGCCTTACAAGGTTTTTGTGTTGCAGTTTAGCAATCACGACTACTTCATTCCTAAACTCTATTGCCCCCTGCCCAGAACCTCTACTGAGCCTTTTAACAGCAACTTCTTTGTTGCCATGGAAGAGCCCCTGCATTATAACAACGAGGAGAAAATTAAGGTTACAAAATAGTATGGTTTGGTTTTGAATCACAGCAAAAAGTGACAAATTTTTCATATTTCAGTGCAATTAGATACGTTGTTGTGTCTACGTTTACCTTGTAAACTTTACCAAAGCCGCCTTCTCCTAGCAAATTGGACATAGAGAAGTTGTTTGTTGCAGCAACTATTTCCTCAAAGCTAATAAATGGAAGTTCATGAGTTTCCTCTCCGAGTCCATCACTACTGCGCAAATCCCCCATTATCAGTCTCTTTGGTCTTCCTTTCTTGTCATGTTTTCCTAAGAGAAATATCATCTTTGTTGTCTTAAAAAGGCCAGAATTTGTGTCTTCCAAACTGCTTAAAAATTTAAATCAATGGATTACCTTTAAACTTGCAGGACCATACAAGGCATGCCAATAGAAGTATCAGCAACACACTTGCTGAAATTCCTGGTATAACTTTTATTACGATGCTCTTTTGCCCTTTCCCTGAAAAAGAACAATGTTATGACGTTCAATTTATTGTAAATCTTTACTCCCTCCCGTTCTAGAATATAAGGTCTATCGATTTTCATGCAAGTCAAACTTGTATGTTTGACCAAGATTATAGAATAAAATATCAGCATCCATAATAGAAAATAAATAAAATATGAAAAATACTTTTCGTGATGGATCTAATGATACAAATTTGGTGTTGTAGATATTTTTTTTCTAAAAACTTGGTCAAACATGCACATGTTTGACTTCTGAAAAAACTAATACACCTTATATTTTAGAACGGAGGGAGTACTTTAACAGTGTTGTCTGAGTATCACGAGTAATCTACAGTTTAGTTAATTGCATAAGGAATATTTTAGATGTGCACTTGGGCTCAATACCTGTATCACCATTTTGACATGCTAAATGAATTGACATATATAGTACATAGTACAAACACCAAGCAAATGGCAACAACATGGGGATAGAACTAATACCATCTAGTGATTTTGCTGCGTGTAGTGGTGGAGCCAAAGTGTCAGCAACTCACAATTTATTATCAAGTTAAAACAGCAAGTTGTAATGCTCTGCTTCTTATGTTACACACAAATTCTTAAACTGAAACGTTGATGAACATAAACAAGAGCAATAGAAAGAGGAGTGTACTTGTGTTCAAGAAAAGAAAGAAGGAGGAACATACTTGACAAGGCAGCAAGCCGGAGATATAGGTTCTCATTGCCAATGGCACCCTTCCCCACGTCAATCAGCTCCCCGGTCCACATCAGGCACCTTGTTGCATCCCCATCAATGTAGGTGGTGCTTAGATTAGCATAAGCATATGCTACAGATGAGCAATTTCTGCTGCACTCCACTTTGCAGTCATCATAGCTTTTGTTCCACGGGCGTACAAACTTGTCTGGCACCTTCATTGCTGGCAAGGTCAGGAAATTGTCCTGTCCACCACACTGCAGTTCCTCCTTTCGCCGGCAACCATGAGAAAAAATGCCTCCAACCCACTCTGTTTTGTTACTAGGGTCAAATCCAGCAAGGCACTTGCATGTAGGAATTCCCTGTGTGTTGTCGTAGTAGCCATATGCACCACAGTATCCATAGAGATTGCACCGGTAAGCTGGCCACGATGTAATGAGGGTCCAATCTGTTAAGCTGGTATTCCATCTCCATATCGTGGTCTTTCCAGAGTAGTCAACCTTGTAAAATATCCTGGAGGAGCCATCTGATAGTCCAAATGTTGAATAGGTCTCGCCATTGGTGCCCATGTAAATCGTCAAATACATGAGTGGACTAACTGCCTGGAGGCCCACGTTGGAGGATACATAGCCGTTCCTCACAGCAGCACGGAAGTATGGCACTGACCCATTCCAGATGAAGGACTGTAGGGGAGTGTCAAGGTCATTCCCAACAGAGAACCTGCCTTTTGACGGGTCTTTAGGGCCCTTCCAAGAGATGATCCGCCATGGTGGGTGTGTCTTGTGGGTCGCCTGCATAGGCATGCCAGCAAGGATGGTGTCGCTTGGATTCTCGAAACTCTGCCATAACATGTCACTGTCTGATGATAGGACTACAAGATTGCCATTGTTGAGAAGTTTGGCCGAAGAGTTGCTGCCAGTGATTGTGTTTGCCATCCAAAGTATGTGGTGGCCATTGTTTTCAGACAACATAAGGCTAGAGTTGCCGGTCATAGTAAGCATCGCGGATGAAGCATCAGTGATCGGATTATCGCGGTTGGCAACCCAGACGATGGTGCGCAATGGGATATCGTTGAACCATATGCCAACATATGTATTTTCAGTTGAATTTGAGGGGGTAAAGAAGTCTAAGGCGAACGAACCTTGGTCCGAGGTGAGAGTTTTGCCAGGAGCGAGTCTCATGCCAGGGACAAGCACACTGACAGGTGCGCACAGAAGCACTGAACTGAAGGGCCAAGGAATCAGGAGCACGATGATGACCAAGTGGAGAAAAGGCAGATGCATGCTTACCCACTTCTTTGAGTTAACAAGTGATGAGGAATCAGGAGCAGAGAAGGGGATATGATTGGGTGGAGAAGACAGAGGAAAATTTAGAGTGAACTACGAAAACTAACCTTGCAGTTGAAATAGGTGAACTGCTGTTCCATTTCCTTCTTTGTCAATAGTTGATATAGACAGTGAAGTGTGAATGGAGGGCAGTATTTCAAATTTTCAATGCCATGTGGCTCGACTGGTGGAATGGATTCTAATACTTCCTCTGTTCATTTTTATAAGACTTTGAAGACATTTCAGACAATGTACAAAACAACATATTTTGAGTTGTCTGAAATGATTTACAAAAATAAACGGAGGGAGTACATCGCTATATCAGCCTATCAACTTGAGAGTGGTAAATGCAGGAAGGTGACTAGATGATGGTAAGACAAAGAAAGCAGAGACTACACCATACTTTCTCTGTCCCATTGATGTGATCTCCAGTCTCTCGCTCATGGAATTCTTCACTACACTGAGTGAGACATCAGAAGTCTAGCACACGGCAACTGAGCCTGACTTGGTAAACAAATTGCCTGGAGCCTCTGCTTCCTGTTACCCACAACGCATGGCATGGCAAGTAACTAAGTGAGCAGGACGTATGAGAGTATATGGCGTTGTACGCACGGCCTATGGATGAAGGGGACAAATGAAGATACCTGATCCGCTAGTCCAGTCTTCCCTTCTAGTTACGTAAAGTCTTTTTAGAGATTTCAATATGGACTACATACGGAGCCAAACGAATGAATTCCAATATAGACTACATATGAAGCTAAACGAGTGAATCTATACTTTAAAATATGTCTATATACATCCATATGTAATTCATATTAAAATCTCCTAAAAGACTTATATTTAGAAACAGATGAAGTACCATACATGCATGGCCTGTAGGTGTCAAGGATTGTTGATTTTTTTTTTTGCAAGGACAGTACTTCAAAGTATATCCCATCCAGACAATTATTGTGGTACAGATAATTTGGAGAACTTTCAGTCCACCAACCGACTTGAATATAGTTTACTGGTTTGATTTGACTTTGCAAGATCACACAAGTTGGCAAAGTCTCCGAAACTAGAATTGGTTTTTGCAAGTTTAAGGTCATTTGTTGTTATGCATCTTAGAAATTGGGGTTGGCTTTGCAGGCTTCTGAATAGGTGTTTACGGTTTATAAACTGTGTTTGGTTACAAAAATGGAAACGTAAACGATGACGTAAGAGTAAGTACAATAGAATGATATAAGCAGGCTATAAAGACTAAAATGTTATATCTTTATTTAGTTGGAGGAGAGAGAAGACAAGCGGGCTATAGAATAAGAGCTGGCTATAGCACGAGACCAATGACATTTTATGAGATTGTAAGGTGGGACAACTATTAATAAAATAGTACATATTTAACACTTACTATTATACAAGCCGACTATTAGGTTGACTCTAGATGACAGGGCAACTTCTTATAGCCGATTGTTGGTTGTATTATTAACCATGCTCTAATCAGATCCCGACATTTTAGGAGGTGTAACGAGTTACTCTCTTCGTCCGAAAAAGAATGTTGCGGTGGCATTTTTTGCAAAAAAACCCTCCACAAATTTTCGACACAACCCACACTCCTTGCTTGTCTCCCTAGACCTCCCCTGCTCGGCTCCCCCGCGCGCAGAGCTCCCTTGCTCAGCTCCCCCACGCTAGAGCTCCCCTCCTCTGCTCCCCCCATAGCTCTCCTACGCGTCGTTGGAGCTCCCTTGGTCAGCTCCCCCATGCCAGAGCTCCCCTCCTCTGCTCCCCCACATAGCTCTCCCGCGCGACGCTTGGAGCTCCCCCGCCCCACGCCACCGCCGCGTTGCTTCCCCCTAGTTCCCCATGGAGAACCATGGCAAGGAGAAGGCTTGATTTTTTTTTTATATGCTCCCCGACGGGAGACGTCCTTCCCCGAGGGCGGCGAGCCGAAGCTAGCCCTACACGTCGTCGAACACCTCCTCACTGGCTGGATGCCGTCGGCCACGAAGTCGGTCCCGACTGCATCTGCTCAACTCCACAGTCCACACCAAGAATCGCTCTTGGCTAAAATTGGTCTTCTCCAAGCACGTGCCGCCTCTCTTCTCCCGCCACTTCGCCGACCACGTCTTCACCGTCGGCATCAGCGGTCCTGTTCGCACCGTGTACGTTCAGCTTTTTTCCTACAGTTGCATCTTGGTTATGAATCTTGTGATGGCTTTTTGTCCAGTGAGAATTTGCATCTGAATTTGATAAAGATAGAGGGGCACTGAATACTGAATCTGAATCTGAATACTAAATCTTGTGCGTGTAGATGTTGTTGATCTTTATCCGAAAATGTGTTAGGGATTGTTGATTAGTGCACACTGTCATCTTGATTGTTTGATCTTTTCTGTCTGAAATTGCCAATGGTTAAAGTAGTAGTTACAATAGTGATCATTAACTGGACATTTGTTACAAGGAGTATATGTTGCTAAATCATTATTTATGTGCATAGATCACCTACCATCAGATTATTTTTTGCAGATGGTGGTGGTGATAGCTGTTTAATCGATCTGGTACTCAGTGCTGGATATACTCCTTGTTGAGTCAAGTTGTGCTAGTACCCAAGCATCTATTTCAGGCCAAGTTTTCGCTCCAATATTGATACACTTGGATGAAAATGACCCCTAGGTAAAGTGGCACATGGCACGTGTTATTTTTTTGGTACATGGTGGTGTACAAATGCGTTGTGTATCCAGGGTTTTGTTTCAAATTTTTTGAACGTGCGTAGCTACTCTGTTGGTGCAGCTAGCGATATTGGGTGCGCATGGGCCAGCCTGCTCCGTTGACTTGCTTTTCTAGGGTTTATACGGTGGTTGTATACGTGGGCGGGCCTCCTTCCTTCTCTGGGCTGCGCGTCGCCCTTCGTCGACGTGTGGTGGGCTGCGTCAGCGTACGCGGTACCGCTTTGCGCTGGGAAGGCGGTGCCGACTCGACCGTCTGGCGTACGGGAGCTCCTAACGGGCGCCTTTAGCGCCAGTTGGCAGTTCGGGCGCCCGCGCGGCTGTGAACTGGGCCGGCCCAGCAAAAAGTCAAGCGAGCAAAGAACAGCCAAAAATTGGTCGAGTAGCGAACGACACGGGCAAACCAACTACACTACACCGGACTACTGGCGAAATCAAGGAAGACTGTTTAAAGTACTCTGTCGCCGCACAATTTATTCATATACATGTAAACATACTGTAGCGCTTTGATTTTTTAATTATTTGAAAACATTTGGGAAAATTTTCATGAATTACAGAAAAGTTCATTGGTTTCGAACAAAAAGAGCGTATTTCAAAAAAAACATTGCTTTTGTAAAAAAAGTTCATCGATTTTGAAAAAAGTTCATCGACTTTGAAAAAAATATCACGATTTTGAAAAAAAAAGTTCACAATTTTGAAAAAAGTTCATAGGTTTCGAAAAGGGTTCGTCAATTTTGAAAAGAGTTCATTGATTTTGAAAAATAGTTCATCGGTTTTGAAAAAAAGTTCATCGATTTTGAAAATAGTTCATCGATCTTGAAAGAGTTCATCGACTTGCAAAAAGGTTCATTGATTTTGAAAAGTGTTCATTGACTTTGAAAAAAAATCGTCGAATTTGAAAAAAGAGTTCATCGATTTTGGTAAAAAGTTTGAGTTTGAAAAAGAGTTCATCCAAATTGAAAAAAGTTAATCGAATTTGGAAAAAAAAATGTTCATCAAATTTGATAAAATTTCTTTCATTTTGAAAATATGTTCATTGGTTTGCGAAAAAGTTCACGAAAAAATTGAAAAGTTCATTGAACCAGGATGAAGGGAAAAAAAGAAAAAAAGGAAAGTAGATGGATAAAAAGGATGTGAAAGATGTACGTATACACATTAGGTTGGTTGTCGGGGTGGTCATTGCCTTCAAGCACAAAGGAGGAGGTTGTAGGTTCGATTCACTATCTTGCCGATTTACTTTTTCTCTTTTGAATGCAGAAAAAAACATAGACGGGCCGGCCCATCTGGATCGAGAGACCTGGCGTACATCCTTTGAGTGCTTTTTGATCGGTGCTGCTACGACAGTTTAGATTTAATTTATGTTTAGTCTACGGCCTGCTATACTATTTTTGATCGGTGCCGCTGTCGCCGTTGCGTCTACAGACTTTGCCGCTTATCGCTGCCGCTTTCGTGGTGCAATCTAGAGACCCTGGTAGATATGTTGCAGGGGCTATAAATAGATCGTTCTTCCTGCTACGTTATTCAATGTAGGTCTTCGTTGCTCTCGCGTACATTAACTCGATGGTGGGCTCTTCTTTCGGTCGTAATGGCCCGCGCCGTCCAGGTGGCCGGCGTGGTGGTTCGGGTTCGGGTGGCGTGGTGGTGTTCGGGTCGTCATGCTGCTTCTCGCCCGTTCTTTCCTTCTGTGTATGCACGTTGTGTACGTGCGACCGAGTAGTTCATCAGTCGACCGTCGGGTGCGGCCGAATTGGTTTACACAGGTTAAATTACGTTAGCGTGGCCCATGGTTTAGCCGGAGAGGTGCTGTGTTTTTTTATTGGCAAAGGGTGTTGGGAGCTGCGCGTGCGTGGTTGGTTGCATGGGCTCTGCTCTGCATGTGCCTGCGTAATTGCTTGGTCTACTCCAGATTGTACGTGTGTACTCGCCTTCATGGCCCATGCACGTGCATGCACGTGGTTGTGTAATTGTTAGGTGTATGACCGGATGGCGAGTGTTTGACAAAAAACTACCAGAATTGAGGCTTCCGTCCCACAGAACTATTACTTTTTTAAAAATGGCTGATAACTACCAAAAAATTGGAAGCGCGTGACTAAAAACTACCAAGTTGACGAATTGACCGTTTTAGAGCGTTTAAACCCGTTTCTGACAGCAGTGGCCCACATGTCAGGTGGACGCCAGTGGTAACGGCTAACGGCGCTCCCTCGCAGCCGTTAGACCCGGCCGTCGCGGTCGCACCTGGTCGGAGCAGGACTAAGCTGG